GCCTCGGGTGCGGATCTCCTCACGGTCGGCCCGGGTCAGGTTGATCCTGTCTCGGTTGACGGCGCGATAGACCACGTCACATCGGAGGTGAACGGTGGCGAGGGCTTGTCGATTCCGTCGCCGGCGAGATCTCGCGGGCCGTCACCCAAACCGCCATCGGCGAACGCTTCTCCTCTGCCTGCGAACAGGTCTCTGGAAGGCGTCAGTGGCAAAGACTCGTTCCGACCATTCACCTCGACGACCTCGGCTTTCTCTATGCACTCTAAAGCTGGGGACCAGGCCGCCTCGCAAAGCAAGTCGCCGTTACCATTCCCACGGCTGTCACGGGGTTACCCATCTGGCTCGAGCGCGAATGGCATCCCGGCGACTGGGGCTGCCGGGTCTGGAGGCGGTTGGAACTGGTCGCAACTGTCGACGAGCGCGTCGAGTGCTCTCGGGGCGTTACAGGGTGCTGCGAGAGAGATCAAGTCAATCGGCCAGGAAGCTATCGGGCAGATCCGAGCAGAGGCGGCTGACGGGGAGTCGTGGGCGAGGAGTGCAAGGGACGCGCCAGGGACACGCATTGGCGAAGGCCGGCCGTCGACACGCGGCAACGAGAGCACATCCGCGCGATCCGGCTTGCGGATGCCGTCCGAAGCGAACCCCTGGAGCGTGGATGCGAGCACCGCAAGGGTTCCTGCCAGTGTCCCGTTAGGCTTAGCGGATCCCGGACCAAGGCCGCAGACCAAGCGCGAACCGAGCTGGACGGCCAATCCTTGGGGCGAGTCGGCTATGACGAGTTCAGCCACGGCATCGCTGGCGGATCTGACGCTCCGATCAGACAACCCAAGCAGAGCAGCCACTGAGCAGGGAGGGCCAGGCGGAGATAGGGGGGAGCAGACATCATCTAAATCGGACAATCGGATCGTGTCGACCGCAGAGGATAAGCGAGTGGAGGAGGCGGCATTGGGAGGGGATCGGAAAGCTTGGGATCCGCTTGGAGCGTTGTAGCATTGTTTACCGGGATACTGCACATGTTGTTGCATTGCTCATGCAGCCGCCATTTACGATCTATCATCGCAGCCACCGCTGCCACCAGCGGACCAGAACACAAGGCCGAGCAATGAGTACCACAGCTTGGCCGGCTCCAATCTCACTCTCAGGCAGCCTTGCTGTCCTTGCTGGACTTCATGACGAGACACTCGGAGTCGCTGATCGGACTGTCAGAGCCAGTAGTCGAGGGGAAGGTCATGCCGCCCGACTGAGCGGACAGATTAGTCGACGCCTCGATCCTTTTGGGTCGGTTGTCGATGCTGCCCTTGTTGGTCCCGGCGAGGAGGCTTGCCAGAGTGCTGCTGTTTAAGCTGCCGTTGTTGGTCGAGGAGGACATGTTGATTGAAGTCTGGATGAAGTCTGAATTTCGGACTGGTGCGTCGAGATTGTTGTGGTTGATGGGGAAATTCGATCCACCGTGGATGAAGAGGCTTTTTATATGCCTGAGTAGGTTCGCTCGCTATGTCTATCTGTGTCGTCCTACGAGAGATCTCTCACGCCTGATATGATATCTTTCTCACACCTGGACCTTGAACTCCGCGATTTGGAGCCGTGCGAAGACACGAAGTCACGAAGTCCACCTTGATCCGCCGCCGCCGCCGCACTCGAGCTGCCCATCGGGTTGCAAGATACCATGCATCCGTTGTATGCCGCTTCATGAACTGGGAAATACTCGCAAAAACATGTCGGTGCATCGCAGCATCTTGGAAGTCTGCGAACGTGGACAGGTGAGAGCATGCGCAAAAAGATAAGGACTGAACTGGAATACGTGAGAAATGGTAGCCTTCGAGCTTGTGTCGGCCCGCAGGGCGCGGCACATCTTGAGCGAAGTCCGCTATGTTTTATTCTACTCGTACTGTAGCTTTGGTGCGGCGGAGAGCAACTGCCGAAGGCTCTGCGAGACAGACTCGCGCGCAGTGTATCTACCGAAACGATGTCATGTAGTCATGGGCCGAAGATTTAGGTCGGGGTGAACTACTACAGCTTACACCGCGGGTGCACGTACTGCCTCACGGGGTGGCTCCATTCTCGCCGCTGTCAGGACCAACCTCGGGAAAGTGATCAGATCGAACGTCGTGAACCGTAACTACTAAACATGCATCTAATCGCTCTTCATACCCTATTCTACCGTCCGCACTCGTGACCCACGTCTCCGAGACTCGCCCGAGAACCAGGTGCGCACTGAGCGAGATCGAATGGAGGCCTTGCTAAGCACCCTCTCAATCCAGCTCTCGAGGTGTCGGATTCAGCTCGAAGGGTCGCTCTTCGAGCTTCCCTTCATCCAGAGGAAATCAGAGTCCTTGGGAGGCTCAGTTCTGTTCTCACTTCTGTGTTTATGATGCAGATAGTCGGCCAACGAGACTCCCTCCAGCGAGGTCGCGCTGCCTCCCGAGCCCGCCGTCCCGGTCTGTGAGACCTGGTTCTGGCTGTCAGTGACAGTGGCAGTAGTATCGCCTGCGCTGGAAGGCATGGTATCCAAGTTCAGGTGCACCAAAGCCGTCTTGTTCCGTGTCGCGGGGCAAAGTGTTGCAGCGGCGACTTTGAGATGATCTCAGACCCAGATCACGACTTGCGGCGCTATTTATCTCCGATTAGACGCACGCTGTCACATCTCGTCTCGCTCCACACGAAGCGATTCATTCCCAGGGAAGGCGTTCATCGGGGGAACTGCGCGCAACTCAGCCGCCGGAGAAATCGCATCCTTTCTGTGCGGGCGTCTATGCACCGAAGAGTCTCCTCCGGGATAATGTCGCTGGGTACGCTCCACCGAATCTACCAGAGAAGGCGAGACACTCCCAAGATGCTGAGAATCACAGCCGAGAAAATTTGCCGAGAAAACTGCGGTCCTTCGATGTGGCTTCGCACACGATGCCCATGCTCACGCTCCACCCAGAAGTCCGCTACTGTGGTTGGAAAGGACGCGAATCCCGCTTGGTGTCGGATATCAGTGGATGAGAACTGCGATACCTCCCCCGATTATGGACGACGTCGGAGCTTGGCATCACCGTTTGCAGCTATCGCAGGCGAGGAAACCCGCGGGAAATGAAACTCCCACATCGCCATCCACCAAGGGGCTGCATGCTTGGTGTAAACCTAGCGATATCGCCTAGTGATGAGTGACTTGGTGATAGCGGTTGAAGGCGCGGTAGCGAGGGTTGGAGCCGGCCGGTGGAACCAACGTCTTCTCAGGCCAGCTCTCCCATGCCCTGCTGTTTCGCCTCCGCCTCGAGCGCCTGCTCGCCCCATGTCCGAGGCAGGCCGCACGCCTCGAGCACCTTCATCAGACCGCCCTCCCCGACCGCCTCCAGTAATGTCTGTTCCTCCTCGCCAGACCGGACCAGCATCATACCGGCGTAGCCCAGAGAGTTGAGCTCGAGCGGTTCGTGCGGTTCGGGAAGCTGGAATGAGGGTGCTGTGCGAGGAATCAGGTGTAGATGATCGCTGCGGGGTGAGCATGCAGGCGAATGTCATCACTCACAGAGTCATGATGAGGTTCCACCCTCCGCCAGATCCAATATTAGCTCGGCGATTGGCATCAAAGGCGATGTCCAGCAGCCTCATGACAGCCGGTGCGAGCGCGTCGATGAGTTCGGAGGAAGAATCAGAGGTCGGGGGCCATGTCATCGCGGCGTGTGATGGGAGCGGGTGCACGATGTGAAGGTGAGGGAGGGTCGGATGTATCACTGCGCGATCTGCGATGCTCAGTGCGGGTCAAACCTCGCCGTAATGACCCACCTGGCCGATCAAAGCTCATCCCCTGGACCCATTCCTCGATGGGCGCCCGACCCCCTGGCACCTCTACAAATTGCAGATGCCTCCATGCCTGACTCGCTCCAGCACCTGGTCCCCCGTTGTAAAACGCGATGAGCCGGCGGGGTCGTGTGGGGTGTCGTGCAGATGCGAGCAGAATGTTGTGGGCCAGCGCAAGCTGGGCTGGGGTGGGGGGAAGGGATTGGGGTTCGTGAACAGGCGGGCAGAGCAAAAAGTGTTCGGGAAGGAGTGAGTACTGAGACGTGAGCGTCGCAAGCGCGGTGCTCTACAAGCTGTACCAGTGCCGCACCTTGTTAAGCTGCAAAGATCATCAGCTCGCTCGGCAAGTGCCCGTCATGAGCGACTCACCAACACCGACATGCCCCGCTCCCCTTCCAAGCCTTCGAGGGCGCCCACAAACAGCTCCGGGACATACGGCGGCTTGAACGGCTCCTCTTTGTTCTGCTTGCTATGCTCCTCTGGATCCTCATCCCGCTTCTGCCGCTTTGGGTCCGGCGACCCGTTCCCCGATCGCTTGACCGCTTCGAGCGCCTCCGCTTTTGCGCGAGCCTTGTCCTGCAGTGCTGGGCAGCATCGCAAGTTAAACTGGAGCGCATGTCAGCGACCTTTTCAGCGCGCGTCCCGCATCGGCATCGAGACCAGACTCACTCTGTGGCCACCGGCGTAGACGTCTTTTGCCTCGCTGGGGAAGAAGAAGAGCTGACCGCTCGAGAGAGCTTGGTCAAACTTTGCTGGGAGGTTGGAAAGGATCTCGGTGGGTGAAACGGGGTTGGTGGGGAAGGCCATGGTGGGTCGGGAGGTTCGGATGCTTCGGATCTGTCTAGGAGCGAGTCTATGGAGTCTTGTGAATGATTTCAGGAGCATCAACTGTTGCGAGGTGAAAAGCAGATGGCTGTAATAGAGAAGGTACCGTATCAAGGTAATCTCGTGACGAGGAGACAGAGCTGAAACCGAGCGACGAAGCGAGTCAAAGTGGCGGAGTGGCGGTTAGCAACCGTCGCTCGGAATGCGCAATGCTGTATCACAGCATCGCGTTGCTCAGCGACAACCCTGCTGAAGGCGACATCGGTAACACAGAAGGGACAGTAGGGGAGAGGAAGGGGGTTTAGAAAGAGCTGGAAGCATGACCCCCCCCCCCCCCCCCCCCAACTCACCCTACCCTCTCGGCAACACCTCGCTGTTCTTGCTACCGCACCATGTTCTCCCCGTTTCGCCCTCAGACCATACACCAAACCCAGTCCTCCGTCAACTATCACCATGTCGAAAAGATGGGCCACGATTCTCAGCACTCACCCCACTCCTGGTCTAGAGACACTGGGACCGCTACCAAGTGGTTGCTCGTCATCGAGTATGGGGGTGACCTGCTTCCTGCCGGACAGGAAGAGGCCCGAGGTAGCGTACTGGCAATTCTTCGGCCTACGGTGAGTAAGACCCCTGCTCCACATCGCTGATACATTCCAGGCCCACCAGCAGCTTGTCCACTTGATCCAGGACCTACTCCTCCCCTCGCCTCTTGGTCTCCATCTCTTCCTCGCTCTACCGGAGCTGGCCGTGGCGCCGGCGATCTCGGAAAGTGTGTGGCAGCACCTGTTCGCTCCACACTTTCATACGACCCCGACCCTGTCGACTGAGCAACATCGCCCCGGACAGACCTTTGGAGGTCTACCGATCGCTGCGAGACTCCTTCTCAGATTGGACAAGCATCAGGCGAGGTGGTACGAGTCGTGGAGGAGGGACCCGCTGGACGGGCTCGTGGAGAAATGGGTTAACCTGGCGGAGGCCCCGTCAGTTGAGGCGAGGGGAAGAGACAGCGAGGGTCTGAAAGGTGCAGCAGACGACCCTCTGCCGGAGGATACCCGCAAGGAGCAGCGGCCGCAGCGACCGACAGTAGACACGTTGACCTCGCCGACTCGGGTGGTAGGTGCGAACTCTCCGCCCCGACCTCGGCGTAGCCCTCTTCGTCCGTCGCCGCCTCCTTCTGTCATCTCGCGAAGGACGTCTCGGCAGCAAGTGGAGATGGAGAGTCCCATGCAAGTGACCCCCGAAACTTCACCGCAGATTCAGACAACCTCGCCCGTTTCACCGGCCTGTCCTTCGGCATTCTCAGTACGACAAGATCCTCTCGACTTCTCCACCAGCCATGTCCCACTCTTACAAGAAGCACTTGCCTCCCCCATATCCATCATGTCGCTCCACCCATGCAGTGCCGAGCCCTGGACCCCTCACACCCCTCACAACGATCCGACTCGGTGGCCGTACCCGGGGTTAGACTCACCTTCCCCGGCGCTGGGGTCCGCGCGATCCATAGCGACATCCTGGGGTCCGCCCACTGGCGGAAGCTTGCCATCCCCGCTGGATCCCTTGGGTCCGAAGGACTGGATCCGCACCCCTGATCTGGCTGAACGAAGTCGCATCTCCGTCCCGAACACTCCCCGCTCACCATCGCCACCGCCGCCCCCGCCGTCGCATGGGCATGATTCGGTGCCCCCGCCACCCATCCGGCCGACACCGTGGACTCTTGTATGGCCATTCTTTACCGCTGTCGAGCTTCCTGCTGCATCACCGATTCCACATGGGCATGTCGGACACAACCACCCTTCCGAGCCTCCACCACCTGTAGTCGTCCCGTCGAGAGATCTCTCGCCGTTACCGAACCACCGGCTTACTCCTTGTGAATCGTCCCAGCCTCGGGCAGACCTGGCTCCCACTGCAGCCCATCATGATACTCCGCCGCGCCCGGCGCGGACTCCGTCCACCTTCGTTCCTTTCGAGGAGATCGCTTTCAGTGACACCCCCAACCTCTCGCTCGCACTTCGGCCAGCCCCGACTCCATTCAAGCTTGCTCCCCCGCCCGCGAAGCGTGGTCTCCCTTCCCGACCCATCAGTCGGTCGCTTCCATTGTCTACCCTTTCCAACGACTTTCCCGAGACTCAAACCGAATTCTCGTCGACGAATGTTCGAGAATCTCGCCATGGCGATATCTCACCGGATGATACTTCTCCCCAACAATTCTCCAACCTTGGTGCCGAAGTCGACCTCGACTGCCCGATCCACCAGCCACCGCCGCCACACCCTGCACCGACATCTCGGGGTCTTCTTCGTGGCTTCTCGCTGCGAAAGACCAAACCACCTGCTCCGGAGTCCATTTCCGAGGCCCAAAACTAAGAGCAGTACCATGCCTCATCAGCAAGGCAGAGCAGACTGTCCCTCGCATCGACGGCGAGTAAGGAGCCCATTAGGCCCCTCAAACGCGTCTCGCAGACGATTGGGGGTTTCTCGGAGGGCGGCGTGGACTCAGGTGAGTAAAGTGACTTCCGTGAGACCTACTGCTGACTACGGCCAGGTCTGCCCTTAAACTCTCCACGCGCAAATCAAGGCCAGTAGACTCTAGTGACGCCGGATCTCGTGCACTGACATACGTAGGGACGACCTCGAAGAGTTTGACATGGTCAACAGCACATAAGGGTTATCCCTTTATGGAGATCTGTAAGTGTCCAGTATAACATAGCCGCTCACGACGCAGATCTACGTAAAGTTCGACGACTTGATTGCACAGAGGCGGTGCCGGAGGACCTGACGATCAAGGTGCACCGAGAAGAGTATCCTCACCTGGAGATCTATTCTCCTCAAGCGATCCTCTCTCGGGACACCATGTCACCAGAGCACGGCTATCCCAACCTCGTCATCTACCCTAAGACGAACACTCTCACAATGGCTGTCCGCAAAGCAAACCTTGCTCTCCAGCCAACCCCCTCCTGCGCTCCCACCATTGTCCATCGTCATTGCAGTCGGCAAGCTCGACTACCCAGACATTGTCCTGTACCCGCGAATGGTCAGAACGGCGATCGCTCTCTCGCCCCCTGCAATCGCCAAGTCCGTTGCCCACATCCCGATCCTTCTCAGCTGCTTCAATTATCCAGACCTCGTCATTTACCCCTCCTCGGCTGGTCCGACCGAGGTCCACCAATCAGTCAGGACGTGCCTCATACCCACCAGACATTCATCTGACAAGTGTCTCATCAAACCCCGCTCCCACGTCAGTCACTTCGTTGACTATGCTCCAGCGACTGCGCCGCTCAATGTACTTCTGTGCCGAACGACAAGGTATCCCCACATCACCATCTATCCTTTCGTGCCTGCTCCGATCGTCATTCTCCTCTCGGCGTATCAGTACCCCAACATCACCATATATCCATCTGTTGACCAAGGTCGGCTGGACCGGCCGGGACAAATCGATGCGCCGCATGGCGTCCCATCGAGGCCCTCCCGCCCGACTCATCATCTGGGTGAGCTGAAATTGTCCCGATCTCTGTCAGCCAGCAACTGATATCATCCAGAGGACCTCATCACCTACGATCTCCCACGCCGTGCTGGACACGGACGGGCCACGTCAACGTCCAGCCTCCCTTCTACGGTCCTAAGCACTCCGATCGCGAGCTCGCCACGCAGTCCGCCCCCTCTGCCCAGCAAGTCACTCCGCGAAGGGCTGACGCGCTGCACCTCTCGCGCGACGATGTTTGACCTTGATTCAGAGACCGACTCAGCCCCTTTCCGCCCTTCCGGAGGGACCGTTGCGACGACGTCAACAAAATCACCTCCACTGGGCCTCGCCCGTAACAGGAGTAGCACTCTGGTCTCGGAGAGGACCAGAGCGCTATTCGGAGATCACCGTGAGTCCGACTCTTCTCAAGTCTGCTGCATCAGCTCATCCTCGCAGACAAAGAACCCTCCGTTGTCAGCCCCGCGGTCCGCGTCAGCAGAAGTCGCACCATCACATCCGCTTCACGTCCTTCCGACATGCCTACAGACCAGCCGTCCCCAGGATCATACACTCGCGGCACCTCGGTGGGAAAGCTTCCGGCAACGATGATGAGGAAATGGATCTGATATGAGCGTGTAACGATGTGACATGCCATGCAACGGGACCGAAGATACAATGCAACCTTCTCATCTGCTCGCAGCTCCGCTCAGTCCGTCGACGCGCAGCCTCGGCACCCTGAATGCGTCAGCACAACGTCCCGGCGACACTCCGGGTAGGGCTCTAGTAACTCACCGCAATGAGGACATTCCACCACCGTGCCCTTCTTCAGTGACGCCTTGGGCACCCTACAGATGCACGTCGAGCCCTGGAAGTTCATGTCCCGTGTTTGGATGCACCTCACGCAACATAGCTTCTCGTAACCGTTCCTGTGACGGGTCAGCAGGTGCTCGATGCCGTGTGTCCGGGACCCAACGATTCAGCTTACTTCTTCCACTTCGCTATCAGGCTGTGACCAGTTCAGCAATGTCCTTCAGGAGGAAAACACGATATCTACTCACTCTGCGTCGGCGTACTTTTGCTTGATCAGCCAGTCGTACAGCTCCCTCGAGATGAGCTCGCGTTTGTAATACAGGTCGTAGATGTAGCGCGAGCGGGCGTGCGATAATCGCATGATGGGCCTGTGTGAGTTAGCAGCTGCCCATTCGACTCGGGAGGTGTGAGAGATCGTGCGCCGCGCTACTCACCAGACCGATTCGACCTTTCGTTTGCCCTCGTGCGACTCGCTCTCTGCGTCTCGCATCTTCTTCTCGTAATCCTCGAGGACATCCCTGCGGCGTCAGCGGCGAGTCGTGAGGGGGTGAGTATTGAGCGGCAGTACCCACTGAATGTCCTCGAAGCCTTCTGGGGGCGGCTTTGTTCTGGAAGTCCTGATCTTGGGCATGGTGTTGTGTTGGAATGACAGAAGAGAGGGATGAAGTATGGAATTGTATCTGTAAACAGCGGTTTGGGTAATGAGTTGGGTTGGCTGGGTCTGGGTCTGCGGCGAAATGCTTACGTAATTGTTTGCCACCGCGGCGATGTCCGCCCATCGGCCCCCTAAACACCACCCACCACACCACCCTTCTTTCTTCTCTCACTCACACACAACTCTTCTTCCTATTGCCTTTGTCTTCGGTCCTCGCTGTCTTCAATCCTCTTCTTTTCTGCTCTCCATCGCTCGATACCAGCCACAGCCACAGCACAAGGCAGTATCTCCTGCTCGGATTGCGCTACCAAGACTCACCGCCAATAACTCCTTTGACTGTCCAGGGGTTTCAACAACCCGCGCTCCTGCTCAGGCGCTCATTATGGGTCGATGGTCCCAGACAGAGTTTGATCGCGTTCTCGTCTCCAAGATCAAACAGTTGTAGTGCGTCCCCTCCTGCCAATCTCAACCGAGGTCCCATCCTGACATTTGCAGCGACGAGTGCAATGAAACCCAACCAGACGATCAAGTCACCGACACGCGGTTCCGCTCGTTCGTCAAAAACCTGAATCCGAACGACGGTGCCACCCGGGCATGCTTCCAGAGTCTGGTGCAGGTGGGTGGAAACCTTTACCACCCAAGAGGGGGGGTTTCTGAACAATCGTCACAGAGAACCCAGCGTCGCGGCGCGGCCAACCGACTTCGCCGCCGCATCATCCGGTCTTCACCTGGCCCTTCTGTATTCGAGTTTGATCGGCCTGACGAGCGCCCGCGCGCGAGGTACTATCCCCGGACCTCTGCCGTCAACGAAGACGAGCCGATTCCCCTTACTGCGTTCGAGCGCGAACCGACACCTATACCGCCCCGCGACGCCGGGGTCGGGACACAACCACCCCTTTTCCGAGGCTCACCGGACCCGCTGCTCCTCGAGGGCCTTTTCGAAGACGTCACCAGGGCGGGTTCCCCCCTCGAGCTCCCCTTCACTTCCCTACCACTTCCTCTGCGAGGAGTGTCCGCCCCTCAGTCTCCCAGCGGGGCACGTCGTCACTTGAGGCGCCGACGCTCCGCATCTCCGACTTCCGACGCTCGATCTCCTCGCCAGCCTTCAGCCAGCCCGCCTCGATCGCCCAGTCGCGCCTGGCTCGAAGAGTATCGATCGCAGCAGGAACAGGCCGGACCGCCAGCCTTCACCTCGTTCCTCTTCAACACGCTCGGCGATCACGGTTTCACGCCCAGTTATGCCGGTCGGCGAAGGGCGGAAGAGGACCTGGGAGCGGTACAGAGACCTGTAACCAGGCGACGGCTCAACCCCCCGGCTCGCGCAGACGAGTCAACCCCAGAAGGTTGGATGCTTCGCGATCAGCGTCCGACTAGCTTGCCGAGTGATCTCGCTCCGACAATGGAGCGCGACTCGCGCGATACCCGTGATACGCGTCGCGACGGGATCGTCTTTGGCGAATATCCCCCTCGCCCCTCGGCGGCCCGACACGACGCGGGTCCCGGAGCTCCGCTTGGCATCGAAGGCGGTCTCTTTGGACTCGAGGCGCACCTCGACGGTCACGCCAACACAGAGCCGGTGGAAAATATGCGGACAACCTTACCACGCTCGCCTCCGGTGAACGCCTACACGGCGCGTACTCTGCCAGTCTCACCGCCGTGGGCGGACATGGATCTACCAGGTGATTCAGACTTGGCGTGGTCCCCCGATGTGACATGGTTTCCTGCCTGAGCGAAGAGACGGATATGCAGAGAGAAAGGAGGGGGTTTGATTTGCGCATTCCTGTAGTATTCATGCTCCGTTCTCGGGCCATACTTGATTGTCCTTTGTTGCCAGCCGCATGTGCATGCGATTCTCCATGTTGTCCATAGCCCCGCATGTATGCCATTATTCCGTATCACACCAGTGATTGGTGCGATGCGTCAGATCATTCGGGTCATTGGGCCAGAGCAGGCTCGCTTCGAGCGCCGTGTGCGCGATGTCCATCCGCGAGCTCGATCTTCGAGCTGTTCCGCAGAAACAAACTGTACGCTGCTTCCAAACCATGCATCCGGTGCTATGAACAAGACCGGCCGAGTACATACGACCCACTCTGGTCATCTGAGGCTCTCATCAGCAAGCCGTCGCGAGCGGTTATTACTAGCACATTCGGACGAAGAGTTCAGACAACGGAAGTGGCCCTCTTGCGAGGGTAGGTTCGATTCCAAGGGGATGTCGACACGGATGAATGCGTAGAGGGAGTCCCATGATCATCAGAAGAGGTATGGAGAGGCGGGAGAAGAATAGGCAAAGTAGACATCGCAGACTCACGTCATTGACACACGTGCCGGGGAGCGAGCCGCTTAGCGGGTCTTGAAGTCTGCGATGATCAGCAAGGATCGCGGGTGCGATACATGTAATACAAATGAACATACAGTCGAGGAGGACCTGGAGGGCGGGCGAGTCCTGGCCGTAGTTGGTGATGACGACGCACGAGCAGCCCACGACCTTGCGGGGCTTGCCCTCACGGTCGATCTTCTACAAAGGTGTCAGATACGCCAGATACGCCCCGCAGCGATGCAACGCCTCTGGACTCACGGCAAGACCGGCCCACTGGCCAAGGACCTTGGCGTCCGAGACCTTGATGAGCTGGATGTTGTGCTCGGCGCAAAGAGCCTCAATGAGCTTGAGGTACTCGGCTGGGACGATTAGTCCTAGACTCCACACCGTCTACACCACACTCACCCTCGGTGACAGTCTCGACGAGGACACAGAGGTGAGCCTCGCGCTTGTCGAGGGCCTTGGCGCACTCGCGGAGACCACGGGCAAGACCGTCGTGGACGAGAGCGGTCTTGATGACCTCCTGGAGAGCGTCCTCGACCGACATCGGGCCGGACTTGTCGGCGACCTCGGCGACCTCGACCTCGGCGGCGGGGGGGTTGGAAGCAGTCTCGGATCCAGCGTCAGACATTTTGGATAGCCTTCTTCCGCTGTTTTAAAGGGGAGAAAAGGGAGTGTGTCTAGTGGGTTGTTGAAGGTGAGTTGGTCGCGAGATTGCGAAGAGGGAAATTGTGGTGGCAGGACGGGGCTGTAGGCGGACCGGGGATTTTCGGAGTTTGGGCGGCGATGATTTGATCCCGTAGTGGCGGTGGGGGGGGGGGGGGGGGCGCGTGGCGGGAATCCTTGCATTGATCGCGACGGCCATGCATGCAGAGGACAGTCCCGATGTAGCTTCAAGATTACAACATGAACACACTCGACTCGATAGTCGCTGGGTATCACTGCTCCTTGGCCCAGATACGAACACCGCCACGTCTCTCCGCTTCGTCCTGCAGAAGATCAAACCCATTCCAACCGCGCCACACCTCGCGGTAGCCCAGCCCCCGCAGGCTGTCTCTCACGTCCACGTCGCCCCTCTTGTTCACAGTCTCCGTCTTGCCCAGCACAGACCCAAATAGCAGCAGATGGGACGGGTGGTCGGGTGTCTCTTGACTGTCAAAGACCCTGTGCAGCGGGTTGGGCGGGTACGGGAAAACGCGCTCGAGATATGACACGGGGGATGCGTAGAAGAGATCCTGTTCAGTCTGGTGCTGTCTCGGGTCGACGCTGAGGAGCATCAGCGGAGGGCAAAGAAGAGAACGAAGGAGCGCAAGGGGCAGCAGTGTCAGAGAGCACGCCTTTGAGTGGATGAACTCACCCCAATGGCGGCTCGCAGGTGAGGAACCACGCCGGGAGGTCCAGGTGCAGAGCGCTCGCCCACGGCGTTGAGTGACAAGGCATCAGAGTCACCAAGCCCGTCACGTTGCCGACATCACCTCTCCGAAGCACATCTATGACCTGTACCTGGGCCCTCCCATGCAAGGCGTTGAGGTACAGGTATGGCAGTAGGGGTGCCAGGAGGATCAGGTAGAATGGAAACGCGGAGATGCGTGTGTACTGCCGGATCGACCGGGCGAGGCGGTAAGCGCCGAGGATGGTGGGAACGAACGATCGGAACAAGGGGGGAAGCGCGAACAGGAGTAGGGGCGGAAGGAAGGGGTGGAGGAAGCGCCATTCGGAGTGCGGGGAGAGGGACAAGACGGTTATGGCGAAGGCGAGAGCCCGGGCAAGAGTGCGCAGTCCTTCTGGTCGATCCAGCGTGCGCAGAGACGAAGGGAGGAGTTTCTCCGGCAGTAGCGTCGCCA